AGGGGTGGGAGAATCTCATCATAGCTCCTCATAAAATAACTACAATGTATTTTGCTTAGGCACCGATCCTGCAAATACTTAGGCATGAGCCCCATTTTATTGCTGTGAAAAAAAATAATTTAAATAAATAGAAACTGTCAAGACAGTACGGTAAAAGCCTAGTTGTCTCAATTTTTTGAGCATGGGCATAGTTTAAGGGAGAAGAGTTGTCCAGCTGGATTCTTAAATATTTTAACATACATTCTGAAGTAAATACTCTATTGAACAGATGCTTAGACTAGGAAGTCCTGTCAGAGAATGGTCCATCTCTATCCTGTGTCCAGTGCAATGTTGTCCTCATTGTGGGGATCATTTGCTAATACAGTATATACCCATAATAGCAAAAAGGTTTTCTTCAGTCTTGTTATTTCTATTTACTTCTATTGATACCTAATTTATATTTATTCCTGGCTATCTATTAGTATTTATTATTATTTCCGTTCCAGTAATTTGGGCCAAAGTTGGCAGTGTAATTGTAGAAGGGAGCATACTTACAATCAAGACAAAGTTTGGTCATTGATCTCTACTGGGATTAACAAAAGATATATTGAGATTTTAGAATTGTTTTAAGAGATACATGATAATATGCCAAACTATTAAAAATTCAAAGTTCACTTTGCACGTTTTTGCCTCTAGGACAGAGTGATCCTAGGGAAATAGCATATATATATGTATACACAGTTTTAAAAGTATCTTATATACATCTGATTGCAGTCCTCCATCTTCCCTCTTCTCCAGTTAGGCCTCATGTAGGTTTATCTTGTGTAATGTTCTTTTGCTAACAGACCTCCTTGCAGGTGAAGGAAGTCCATCCAGGATAAACCCATGAAACAAAAAGGGCCTTCAGTTTTTACTGTTCTCTGAACCAGTGACAGAAAACTAATGCTGAGGACGGCATTTTCCTTTGAGAATACAGGGCCCCGATGGAGAGGATTCAGGCAGGTGGCACATTTGAAACTAGTTTTATTTTGTAAGCTGGCTAGGTTGCAAATGAGACGAGGCTCATCACAAGGACCGTGTCCGTACTGAAGGGATGCTGTACTTCGGGAGCGCAGAAGGAGCCTGGCTCCGCGCTGCCCGGCCTCAGACCTCCACCCCGGGTGTCCCCTCGCCGGCCGCACCGCAGGGCAGCCCCTCTCCCGCAGGACCCGCACTTTCCTTACTGGAGCCCAGCTGTCCTGCATCTCCCCACGTCTCTTCTGCGCAGAGGATGGGGCCAAGAGCCACAGACAGGCTCACCCCGGTCCCCTGGTGCCCACCACCCAACCTCAGCAGCACCTGGCGGGACCCTCGAGGGCCGCCCCCCCCCCCCCCCCCCCCCGAAAAGTGCAAGGAGGCATTATTTTTGAAAGCGCCCAAAATAGCGCGCGTCTGCTGCACAAGTCTCCTTATTATTCCTCCAGCGTCGGCAGTGAATCAGGGGGAGGATGCACCTCCGTCGGAGCCCTTGCCGGCGGCCGCGTTTTGGGTGAGGGCTATGCCTGCCGCCGGTCGCCGGGTGCCGGGTGCGGGCGGCCGGGGCGCAGCGGCAGCGCAAGCGAGGGAGGAAGAGGAGCCGCGGCGGCGGCGGCGGCGGCAGTTTCCCCTTTCCCCAGCCCTGGCTCCGCGGGCGCATGCTCACTGTGCCCGCAGCCCTGGACCATATTTGTCAGGACTACTCGAGAGACGGAGAAAGAGAGAATTTGGGGGGGTAAGGAGCGGCGGGTTCCGATCTGATCCGCAAGCCGTGTAGGGAGCCGCGATGGCAAAGGCTGGTGACGGGTTTTAATTTTCCCCTTAGGTGAGGATGAAAGTTAGCGAGAGCGCGAGAGATAAAGGGAGAGACGCACCTCCTCTCCCTCCCTTACGAAACGTATCTGGGGAAGGGGAGGGGGGCTTCTCCCCCACCACCTCGAGCAGAAAGGATGGAAGTTAATGCCGGGGAAAGTGGGCAAGTGACTCGCAAGTGGCTGGGGAGCGGCCGAGGCACCGGGGATCTCACTAAATCATAAGTGTACGAGTGTGAAAGAGGAACAAAAGAAAGAGAGAGGTGCCTGGTATTTCTTTTTCTCTTCCCAAACACATGAAGGGAGTACATGTATATATATATATATGCGCTAAATATTTATATACATACACAGGCACGCACGCAAGTATGTGTATGTACATATATATATATACATATACGGGGGAGGGAGCTGTGGAAATGTGTTTGGGGGGGCATTTTTTTTGGGGGGGGGAGTGGGTTCCGAAGGGAGGGGGAAGGGAAGGGGAGAGACATTTTGCAGACTTGCCCCACCAATGAGCTTGTCAGTTGGCTCCATTTAATGACACTTACGGGGCACCGCCGCGCTGTTGGGAACAATGTGATGCGGGTGCCGCGGCCGGGCGGCGGGGGGGGCGGCAGGGGGGGCACGGGTGTGCGTGTGCGTGTGAGCGCCGGGCGGGGAGGTAGCGGAGCGGAGGGAGGGGGCTCGCTGCCACCCGAGCCCCCCCTCCCCAACCCCGGCTCTTTGTTCGCACAGGCTGAAGGACGGGGAGAAGTGCGAGCTGCAAGGGGGCAATGCGCTGCGGAGTGGGGTGCGAAAAAGCTCCGGGTTTTTTGGTCGGAAGCGGCGAGAGGTGGCGGCTGCCGGGATATACCGGTTGAATGTGCCGTGGCTGCCCGTGTGCGAAGGCCTCTCCAGCGCGCAGCGGAGAGTTTGTATTTTCCTTCGCTCCTGCACTTTGTGTGATTGTGTGCGAGAGATATTTAAAATATAATCATCTCCCAATTTCCGCCATTTTGGGGAAAGTTTGCACACACATACACATACCAAAAAAAAAAAAAAAAAAGCGCAAGCTTCTAGCAATTTTTTTTTTTTTTAAGAGACGAAAAAAAAAAGTCTTTTGCTCGAGTGCTCAGTTCCTGCCTCTGTGCGGTGCGTGCGCCGCGCTCGCTGCGGCAGACATGTGAGGCGGCGGGGGAACGGCCCCTGCCCGCTCCGGGCTGCGTGCGGCGGCGGGGGCCGGCGCCTGTCACCGCCGCCGGCTCCGCGGGCTGGCCTCGAGGGGTACCGGGGGCTGGCCCCGGGCTGCCGGCCGTGTGTGCGAGCGCACATACACGTGAGTGCGTATTTTGCCGACGACGGGGGCGGGGAGGGAGGGGGGGGGGGCAGGGGCAGGGAATAGGACGCGGCTTTTCTGTTAAGTTGCGCGCTCTCGCCTGAAGTGCGGCCGGGGTGGGGGAGCGGCCCCCCGCGCACACGCCCGTCTCTCGTTCCCCGTCTCCGCTGCCGGTGCATATAACAACAGGATACAGGCACACTTGTTCTCATTAGCGTGTGTGGGGCGGTGTTTTTTCGGGGGGTGGGGGAAGGAAAGCGATTTTTTTTGGGGGGGGAGGGGGGCAGCGGCGGCCGACGGGAAGGCGCTCCTGCGGAGCAGCCGCCCGTCCCCGGCCGGGGCTGGGGAGACGCCGCCGGGGCTGCAGAGCCTGGGGCGGGGGGCGCCGCGTCGGGGCCGCAGCGGCGCCCGCTCCCCACCCCCATGTTTTTTCCCCCTCTCCGTCGGAGCGGGCGCACGCGAGAGCGTGAGAGAAAAAGTTGCAGCGCGGGGCCGGGCGCTGGCGGCTGCGGGGCCGGGCGGGGGCGAGCCCTCCGGAGAGGCGGCGTGTGCCGGCCCCTCCCGCGGGAAGGGGAGACTTCTCCGCCGAGGGATGCCTGGAGATCGGCTGCGAGCGGCCAGGGAGCGAGCCCCCAGCAGTCCCCTAGAAAAAAAAAGAGCTCGCCCCCCTCTTTCTCCTCCTTCTCCTCCGCGCGGGGGGAGGGGAGGAGGGAGGAGAAGGTAACATTTTTTAATTTTTTTTTTTTCTTTCCACTCGGAGGCAACCTCCTTTTCCCGGATCCCAGTCGGTGGGGGGGGGGGGGGTGGGAAGAAAAAAAAAGAGCGAAAGACCCGGTAAACAAGCAGAGTCCCTCTCTCGTTGTGCAACTTCCTCAGGAACACTTAACACCCAGTTCCTCTCCCACCCCCGCCCGCACCGCGCTCGCCCCCACCGCCGCCCCCACGCCGGGGCAGGGGGGCACTCTTCCCCCGCTCCATTTAATTGCCCGGGGCGGGGGCGAAGGAAAAAAGGCAAATTCTGGAGGGAAGGGGAGCGACTCGTGAACCGCTCTCCCCGAGCGCTGCTCCCGAGGAGCCGGGCGGGCGGGCGCTTTTGTCTCGGCGGTTCTGCCCGAGCCTGGAGAAGACGCGGACCTGAGCCCGGGTTTTCTCCAGAAAGTTTCAAGTGCAGCAAAAACACGCCGCAAAACTGGCCAAGGAGGGACCTCTGCTGGTAGGCCGCGGGCTGCCGGCGCCGGGGAGCGGCGGCCGCGCCCGCCGGGCCTCGCCGCAGCGTTCTGGCTGCCGCGCCGCTCCGCCGGGCGGGCGGGCGGCCGGGAGAGCGGGCGGGCCGGGCGGCTCCGGGGCGGCCGCTAACGGAGCCCGCCGCTCCTGCCGCCCGCGGGCACGGCCTGCGTGGGGAGCGGCGGGGGGCGCGCCCCGCGGCTGTGCCACTTGTCCCACTCGAGAGCGCGGTTTGAGCCGTCAGGGTTTTTAGGTTTGAGTAACGCTTCTTGGAAAGGAAGCCCCCGGAGATGCGGCAGTCTCCCCAGGGGGGTGAGGGTCGTGGCCTCTTCTAGGTCTTTTAATTACCTGTGCTTAGCAGCGTGGTGTGTAAGCTTCACAGCGAAAGGCAGCATGAGTTACGTTGTTCTGTTTTGTTCTGTTTTCTTTCTAATTTCCTCCGTGTAGCTGAGTGGCATTGGACTGATAATTTTTTGCTGTTTCTACTCATGAATGGATGCTAAGTCGTCGGTGCTAAAAATCAGGTGGTGGTGAGCATAAAGCTCATGATACAAAAAGTTCAACATATGCAATTTCAGGAAGTAGTCTACGTTCAGGATTGTAACATAGTTTTCTTAATGAAAATTTTAAAGCTGTTCAGGAAGCTGGTGCTTTTTACCAAGGAAGTTATCATGTTCCCAGAAGTTTATATGATGAATATCTGTAAGAGAGAAACTCCCTGAAAGTAGTGGCTGAAGACAGTAAAGCTTTACACTTTAATCTGGGCCATGCCAGGTGTACGTTTTTTCTTGGTGTTATTTCAGCAGCTTTGGCTGTGGTCGAGTTGGTCTTCTTGTGAATGGTGCTCTAGTAAAGGTGGCTGAAGCAATGGTCTTGGATGGTGTTTGTTGTCAGCTGGGCAATTGCAGTGAACTTGGGTTTTGTTTGCTATTGTGGTGTATGTTTCACTCTCAGATTAATGAATTTAGCTAGAGTGTTGCTTTTAAGTTTCAATAACTTTAGAAAATGGTTGTGATGACTCTTTTTCTTCTGACTTGTTGAGTTTTATTTGACATCACCTATTCTGTGAAGAGAGATGGTTGATTTTTTTATGGGCTGTTCAATTTACTGTCTGTGTTTTTTAATACTGCTGTTCAGTGTGATGGTAGATTGTGAGTGATGGTGTGAGGAGTCAGTGATGAGCTGGCATGAGGCTTACTGAAGAAAGTGATAGCATGTGTGTAGTCATAGCTTGTTAGTGCTCCAGTAGTAGGACTGCTCATTACAGTGGGAGATACCAGCTCTTTATGAATTGGAGAGAAGGGAAAGTCTATACATGCAGAATTGTATTTAGGAGCTAGAGAAGGTGAATTAATTGTTTAAGAACAGCAGAGCTCATGGAAGCTGGTAAGAACTGTCAGATGAGGAAGAGGAGGGTACGACTCAGACAAAAGGGACATTCAGATGTGTACTGAATTAACTTGGGGTAGAAATTAACAATTTGAAATAGGTCAGGTGATACTTGGTGTGATGATTCCGTGCATCACAGTTCTTCTCAAGAAGGTGTTTCCACAGGGGAAGGAAGTAGGCACAAATAAAGGCAGAAGTGTTTGGTAACTTTCTGTGCCTAGTTCAGGCAATTAAGAGATTTAGGACAAAACATTTCAGAGTTGTTGTATGCAACTCTTAATCTACTCAGATAATAAATCTCGACTCAGGCCTGCACAGACAGTAACAGAAATAAAGGAGTAATGGTTGCAGAGGAAATACTTATTTGGTGTGAGGTACAGGCTGTTAATAAACAAGAAAAGGTTATGACCGGTAAGTTTCATTAGATGATGGGATAGCTTTCCTGTTGGGTAACTATTGTTGTTATAGTGTTTTGTGGATATTTGCAAATGAAGTAGTAGAGGAAGGCTGTAACTATTACCTGGTCTTTAGCAATGGTACAGCAGTACCGTGTTAGCTTGCTGACAGAGACTAGACTCGAGTGAAGACAGCAAGAACCTCCCTTAGCACAGCATTTTGTAATGCATTTGTGGCCAGATTCTTTCTTTGAGGGGAAAAAGGTTTAAAACCAAAGTATTGGGAACCAGGAGCAAGCACATGTGGTACCCCTGGAGAATCTAAGAGTCAGAAATGTAGCAACAGATAAAATAAGAGGAAATAATGCTACAGAGACATCAATAGGAACTCTGGTCCATTTTCTGTTCCAAGTGTTAAGAATGGCAAAGAATTTTAAGCTGGGGTCCCTTTGTGAATTCTTAAAAAAGCTATGTATCTTATCTTTAAAATAGCTTACTTGTAATAAACTTCATGAACAACAGGCAAAGTAGTGAAATTTACTCAGCTTTTCAACATGCAGAATAGAAACATGGCAGGACTAGTAAAGTAGTTCCTAAGCAATGAAAAATGAGATTTTGAGGAAAATGTGGAATCTGCAAATACTTCTTTTAATGAAGCATTAAAATAATTGCACCTTTAAACAGATACAAGAAAAAGCACATATTAAAATGCGGTGGGTAGCATCAAAGAATTTTACCATTTCCTGCACTGTTCCTGTTGTGGTTGTTTTTCTTTAAGTGAAGAATGTGGTGCAAAAATATGAAGGGTGAGAAAGAGGCAAGCATGGAGCGTGCCCAGCTCAAAGAGGGGATTGCAAAACGAAAAGCAGGGCTCGCCCCCGGTGGGTTTACAGTCAATTGGCTTTGCTTTTGCTGTCATTATGAAGCAAGCTTACTACTGTCGGCAAATAGAGGGAGCTTACACTGCAAGGGGTAATTCTGCTTCATGTGGCTTCGGCAGTGTAACAAGTCAGTGCCGGTAGTATTCACATTCTTACATGTTAAATAAAGCTAAGCTGAGTATCCACTTGTCCCCGGTTGTCTAGAAGTTGGTGTATTTGCAGCTCTGGTACACTGAGTTGTTCCCTGCAGATCCATTTTATTTTCCTAATTTACTGGGTAGGGAAAATGTGTCCTTTTAGCTCATGGGTGCTACACCAGGCAGCCTTGGAGATGTCCAAAATAACTGAATACAATATTAGGACAAAAAACCTCATCTGTTGCCTTGGTTTCTGAACACTCATCAGTGCTGGTGTCACCCAGCACTGTGGGGAAGAGGACCCATGGCTCAAGTCCATAAGGACATCGCCTCCCTTGGGACCTCTTTTTCCCTTGGACCTCACTCTTGGTGTCATTTGCTGAGACCTCCCCTGGCTCTACATGCCCAGTTTTGCTTCTCGAAGGAGCTGTCAGCTGGGGAGACGATCAGTATGGGGCAAACCTGCTAGGCTCTCCTGTCATGGTAGCTGCAGAAATCCTTGATAGTAGAAATAAAAATACACAGGGATGCATAAAAAGAAAAGGCAAATCATTGCAGACAGGTTATGCTAATCTGGCATAACCAGATGACTGGTGGCTTTACTGCTGAAATCTCTCTCTGCTGCCCAGTGACTGGTATTGAGTTGACCTTGCTGGTTAGAAATTGTATGGACATATCACAGTTGGCGTCTTAGATTTTAAAAGTTTGGACCGCTGTCAGGTACTTTTTTCCAAAGCACTGACTGGAAGAAAGAGTCCTATTACTACTTGCCGATGTATTCAGTACATAAACCCTATAATTATTTCAAAAACTACTTGTAAGTTTAATTGGCATATTCTATCCTGTTTCTTTGCTTTATATCTTTAGAGAGTCTTTCACCTGATGAAACTATCTCATTTTTAGTGCTGTTACTCTCAATAAGTATTTTTTCTGTGAGTACTCATTTATTGTTGAACCACTTGGTAAAAATGAAGGTTTTTCAAAAGATGTGTCTAATCTTACTTTATATGCTTGTTTATTTAAATGAATTTATTACATAAGTCTAAAACAACATGTTGAAACACTATCATACAGCACACTTCTCTTGTGGCTGTGAAGATTTAGATACAGTTATATCCCTAATAATGGATTTTGGAGATGCTTTTGGATAACGACTGTTCCAAGTTCTTCCTGTTATGTCCTTTCCATCACATCAGATGGCAGTGACAGGCATAAGGACGGTATTGTAGTTACTTTGCCCCATATTCATCTAGCATTTTTACTACTTTTTTGGCAGTGCAGCAACAGAAATGATAGCAGATGAAATCGTTATGGAAGGAGTTATACTAGTTCAAAGAACTGCATCAGAGCTTTAAAACCAAAAATTAAAATGAGTAGATAAGACATTCTTTAGTCTTCTTTGTACTGAGATTTAGATGTGTATATTGCAATGATTTCATCCTTTTTTAATACCTCATTGCCATAACAATTTTATTGGTCTGTATCTCCTTCCTCATTATCATTAGTAGAGGGATATAGCTGTATCTTTTATCTGTTTAAACTCAGGAAACCTGGAAACAGATATTTTGTTAAAAGTATTTCCTTTCAGTAAGTTAATTTCTGTCTGCATTGCCCTGTGACCTTTTCATCCCCACCAGGAACACTTCTGAAGGCTGCAGAATGTGAAAAATACAGATTATGCCTTTGACTTTGAGTAAATTTTAAAAGGAAAGCAATAATGAATACCTTATAAAAAAATTATATAATTATTGCTGTTTGTTACCCAAGGAAAGTTTCTTAGGTGTAATTAAGTTAGAATTTGTATGTTTTTTTGAGACAAATATGCCCTGAACATTTGTTACCAATTTTTTATTTACTTTCATGGTTTACACCCTGCTTAAGTAGGCTAGGCTCTGAGTTTTTTTCCCCCCCATGTAATTTTCATGTCAATAACAAGAGTGGCACAGTCAGAGATGTCAGCATCTGATGGAGCAGCTGTCCTGTCTTGTGCTCCTTGCTGCATGGTACAGCGGCTGCTGTGAGGAAACACTTCCACACAGCTTCTCGAGTCTTTTCCTGTCTTCTCTCATGCCTTCTGCTGAACTCATTGCAACGTGTTTTTCTGTAGTAAACACAGGAGGGTTGAGTGAAGTGTCCTCTAAACAGGACAATAATTTAAGGTTACTTCAGTTAATACAGAACACAACTTTGTGTTTGCTTATCCAGGCTAATCTTGGGAAGCTTGTTATACCAACATTCTTAAACCAGCATGTTTCATGTCCTTAAAACTTCACCGGTGTCTGGAGAGATCCAATTTTTCAGCTACTCCTTAGCGACTTGGGTCTTGTGTTCTCGAGGGAAGGCCTGCACCTCTGCCATCTTCCTGCGGTTCAGTTTGGTGGAAGTCTGCTTGAGTTGGTCTGCTGCAGTGCTTGATAGGCTGGAGCTCTGCAGTGTACTGTGCTCTCAGATCAAGCAGAGATCCCAAGTTTTATTGCAGGAACTGCCCTGAGGTAGGATGGTAGATTTTGTATGGGAGTGATTTTAAAAGATGAGATCTATGGCTTTGGGGAATTTATCAGTTTGCACTGAATTTGTTTAGATTTATTGAAGTTTTTTAAAATTTTGTGCATTGCCGGTATGGTTTTCTCATAGAGATTTACTGAAAGGTGGAGAAGACACATTGAATCATGTGGTTCTTCCTACTTAAAGCTTGTCATATGAAATACATGAAGTTTTCTCAAAGAGCCTTCTGTGAACCCTGCCTGTCATATGAAATGAAGAGGAATGCAGAAGCTTTCACTCTTAGCAGTGAATACTGACTGAGGTCCAGCTCCTCTTGTTGATATTGTGTAGTTACTGTAGTGTAACAAAAGTACCCATGGAGTAAGGTGTTGCTCAGGATTTTGAAGAATTCTGCTAGAAATGAGGAGGAAACCAAGGAGAAATACAAGGGAGTTCACACTGTATACCCAAAACCAGAGTAGTATCTGTCTGTAGTGGTGGTGTTACAGTGATTGGTACAATTTTTCTGATAAATACAATGTAAATTCAATTATTTTTCATGTAACAAAGTTAACTAAGCATTTTTCTGTTCTAACTTTCAGTAAAAAACTTCTAGACTACCTGAGTTTACTTCTTCTTGGTTTGCATCTTTTTCTGTTATCTGTGAGTGATCACATACCATTTTTTCTTTTTCTTTTTTTTTGGGGGGGGGTGAAAATTCAGGATATTCAGAGAGTATTAATAGATATTTGTAGATTTGGGCAGTGGGACCTACGTTAGAAACTAGATTTTAGAAAACAAGGTTAAGCACTGAGGAAGCTCATTATCTATTTGAAAGTTCAGAAAGTTTAAATTTCAAAAATTTCGGAAAATGTAAATTTCAAAAGGGACAAGCTTTGGCTAATAGTTCACAAACCAATGACAGAGCTAATTTTGCTGCAAATTATTTCATCTGCTAGGCGTAGTGCAGAAGTTCTTCAGAAACAAAATTAATGAGTCAGATTCTACATTGAACAATTGGTAAATCAGGTGCCAGGCCACAGATCTAAAGGTTGCTGGGTTTGTGAGAAGTGGAAAGGAAAAGCTGGTGGTAGTCACAACTGGCTGCTAGAAACACCTGCAATTCAGTGCCACTGGTGCCATCTTTGTGGCAGTGACAAGCAGTTGGCCAAAGCCAGGAGTCAGAGACAAGTGTGGTATACTTCTGTTGCTTGTGCAGATATTTTGCCACAGAAGGGGATGTCCAGATCCACTATTTCTGAGCACAATATTTATTTTCTCTCCCTTCACTGTTCCGAAACAGAGGGATCCAGTAGAATCAAGTCTTGCAAAACAGTAGTTTTTTCTGGTGTATATGTGCTTTCCTATGTGAAAATAGATTTTTAGAAATGAAATTTAAAGTCTAGTGAAACTGTAGGGAAACAGATAAAGAATATTTGAGTGCCCTGAGACAGACAGGGAAAATGACAGTTTCAAATTCATTTTGAGATTCTCATTTGAACTTGAGTAAAGCATTCACGTCAGCATGTTATCCAGTATTAAGGAAATGTGGTTCTGTTAATCAGTCCTTAATTTATTTATTATAGGCATGCACTCATGTCTTGCCTTTCCCAGAACAGATGTTTTTCTTAGGTGTACTTGAAGTATGTTTTCTTCATGTCAATTTACTTGCAGGTTGAAATTTTTCTTTCCTCTCCAATACAGCCTCATTGCCTCCTAGTGTGTGAAACAGGTATTATTTTCAAAGTTTTTAAAAGATTTTCCCTTGCTTTTATTATATCAGTGTATATTATCACCCTTGTCATCTCTTGTCGACATTGCCAGTGTGCAGAACGAAGCATTTGATACTAATCTGTGAAATGAGTTGGAAGAAATCTGGTGATATAAGCATTAAACCACGTACAGAATTTTCAAATTATTTATTTATTTATTTATTTTTATTTTATTTTTTTAGTACATGCATCATGAATGAATCTGCCTCTAGTGGAAATGGTCAAGAGTTTGATGTATTTAGTGCAATGGACTGGAAGGATGGCATAGGTACTTTACCAGGAAGTGACCTAAAGGTAAGATCTGTGATTTTTTTTTTTCATAAGCAAAATAAAAATGTTAAATTACAAAAGAATGCATTTCAAAAGCTGGTGTGTAGGTATCTGCTTTTATGAATAAAACATGAACCTGCAGTTCTGAGTTAAGAGACTTACGTTTTAGCTCTGGAGTTCCTTGATTCAGTTTATGGTGCTGGCACAGACAGCCGACATCCCCGTAGGAAGGCATAAATTAGCACTGCCTCACTATGTAGACAGAAGTAATCAAGTGCACAAAATCCCAAAGAAATCTCAGAAGTGTGAAAATTCAGTCTACTTAAAACATTATATTACTGTATCACTAAGAATCTTCATACTGTCATTGACTCTCATGGTCTCAATTCTTAGTTCTTTTTATTTCTAAAAATAGTTTATTTTTGCTGTGCTTTTGTCATGTGGGTGCCTAGAAAAAATGAATTAAGTAAGTGCTTCTGAGCTTCGTACAGTTTAGAAATTTGAATTGTACTGGTGGTGTTTGAAGTAAATTATAACAATTTTGTTTTGTTTTCAGATTTTTTTATTTATCTCTTACTTTTTACTGTGTCCTCAGAAGGTGTCCTTTGCTGTGTTTCCAATTTTGATATTAGAGACTGTCTTGCACCTATTTCCTGTTGATTAAAATCAATATTTTCATATTGTTCCATTTAGACTAACACTGATGAGGCTTTCCCATAGTTTTTTTTTTAAAAGGAATCTCACAAGAAAACATGTGGCATTTAAAAGAACTTTATATCTTTTGGTGCCTGATAGGATTTCTATTGTTGAAGTGAAGAGTCAAAAAATGTTTGAAATTCAGGACAGACATGTTGCAAATGTGTTTTTGTGTAGGTGTTTTGTAAGTCGTTTTTGTTTGGTTTTTTGTGTGTTTGTTTTTGTGTTCATTTGAGTTTTTTTTTAATCACAGAACAATAGAATAAAGTCACGGAATAATTTTCTTTGCAGGGGACTTCAGGACACCACCCAGACTAGGCAACCCAGACCTCAGGGTCACCTCAGGGCGAGTTAGATCAGGTTGCTCAGAATTTGGTTATCTCCAGAGTTTGATACCGCAATCTCTCTGGGCATTTTTATATACTTATAGTAATTTTTAACTTTTATGGATACTTTGTTGGAATTTCCACTTTTGTAGCTTGTGCCTCTTCCCTCTTGTCCTTTTACTGTGTGCATCTGAGAAGAACCTGGCTCTATCTCCTCTATAGCCTTCCATTAACTACTGGAAAACAGCAGTAAAATCTCTCCTTGTCTTCTTAAGACTGAACAAATGGCTTCATTCAGCTTTTCCTTGCATGTCATCTGCCACAGTCCCTGCTTGTTTTGGTGGACTTGCTCCAGTATGTCAGTGCCTTTCTTGTACTGGATGCAGTAGCCTGCATATGGTCTCATCAGTGTTAAACAGAGAAGACTAATCTGTTCCCTCGTTCTGCTGGCTGCCCTCTTGCTCAGGCAGCCCTGGGTGCTCGTGGCCACTTTTGCTACCAGGGCACATTGCTGACTCATGTTCAACTTGTAGGTTTTCTGCAGAGCTGCTCTCAGATAGTCAGCCCCTGGGCTGTACAAGTGCATTCAGATGCTCTCTTCCAGGTGCAAAGGCCTTGTGTCTGCTTTGGTAGACCTTCGTGGTATCTTGTTAGCCAGCTTTCTTCAGCATGTTGAGGTCTATCTGAACAGCAAAGCTGCCCTTCAGTTTATCAGCCATTCCCTTCAATTTGGTGATTTGATTTTGCTGCCCGTATACACAGAGAAACCTTTTTTGTTGCTTTTGCTAGTTTATTCTTTGGCTGAGCTTTGGATTTCCTAATTCCATCATTGTACACTACAGCAATATCATCATATACCTTGTCTGTATAAAGTTACTTGTTTCACATTCTGCTTACCTTCCTTTTCTTTTGAAGTAAGACAGGAGTCCCTAGTTCATTTGTGTTCACCTTCATCTGCATTTGCTTAACTTCTTGCACATTGACATGCATCATTCTCCTGGTGTGAAGTCCCTGGAGAGGGAGACAAATTTCCTAGGCCTGTTTACCTTTTAAAGTGGTCTCCTGTATGACCCTGCCAAGCAGATCTCTGAACAAACCAAAATATGCCTCTTCTGAAGTCCAGTGCTGCTGTTTCAGTGTTTGTTTTGTTGGCTATTTTCAGAATTTCATACTTCACTATCTTATAGTGATAGCCAAGACTATCACCAGCCTCCACATCCCTGAACACTGCTGTATTTTTTTAAAAAAATGTCAAGGCCTCACAAATTTCTTTCTAATTTAATAAGCAACATTATGTGAAAGGCAACCATAATATTGAAATGTTTGAACAATACAAAAGGGAACAATGCAGGAAAGTATAATAGTCTCATATAATTACAGGTTTGTGCTTTGTTCAGTTGTGGTTACCCTATGTCAAAAGAAACAAAACAGAAGCAAAGGTTGAGTAATTAATTAGTAGAGAAATGGGAAAGTTCCCATGTAAAGTGAGGGAAGGGACTGGGAAGTGTAGCTCAGGGTAACTTCAAGAAACCACGTAAGAGGATTCTTAATGATGTCCTGTTCAGGAAAGCATGAGCTTAATTTTAAGGCTGCTCTTCTGTTTATTTGTTTATTTATTTTAATTTGGAAACAACCATACATTTGATTTTTAGAGATTCTTTCTTTGGTCCATGCATTAGGGAAGGCACAGTCAGAGCTGCAATAGTAGTCTACTCAGAATAATGAAAGATAGAGAGTATTGGCCAGGCAACTCCTTCTCTTTGGGTTATTGTTCGGAGGTTTTTTGTTTGTGTTTTTTTAAATACAGAAGCAAGGGGTTACTGGATGAAATTGAAATGGAGCCACTTTAAGACTGACTGAAGCAAGAATGTTTTCCAACAATGCCAAATTAGCCTCAGGATGTAGCTGGACTAGAGAGCATTAAGAGTCAGTGAAAGACTAGATGTTTACATAGATACCAAAATAATTTGAGTTGTTAGAATAGTAAGGATTTTTAAGCTTTTATGATAATTGTGACAACTCATATTTCAGGGCTGCTTCTAAATATTGATGGCTAAAAGGGTGACTAAGCACTTGAAACTATAAATGTGATCATGGAAGATATGTTATGCTCTTTGTGAAATTCTCAGAATAGAGTTTATGTGGATGATTTACCAGAACTGTCCTGATCACAGATTATTTTACTGTTTTGTCCTGAACCTAAAGTAAATGGCCTTACATAGCAGTAACTTCTTGTAAGCTTGCATGTAAGCTTTCAAAAATCATAATAGACTTGTTCTAGCCTGTAATAGTCTTAAAACTAAAGGTATCAAACCATTGCCATGTATTTACATTGAAATGCAGTTGAAAAATCTGTGAAAGCATGTAATAGCAAAATACAGAAATCCAAATATTCTATTTTGACAGCTTGGTAATACAACGTCTGAGGAGTTTTATAACAAATAATAAACAATAGCTGAACTATTCATTGCAGACAATGTATTGCTCAAATTCTTGCATTTAGTGTTTTCTCTTCCTAAAATGTTAGGGGAAATTGTCTGTGAACACTCAGATTTGGTAAACTTAAGAGGATGTTTTAAGTTAAACCTATGCCATGTTGAAATGTTGCTTTTTAGTATAGACATTTTGGGGAGTTACCTACTTGAAGTCCTTATTTTTAGTCATGTAAGTCTTGTGGCATTTGCTTCTCTTTACTGCTTGCATGTGAAGTTTCATGCTTGTTTTAACATATGCATGTTTTAAGAAATCTCTTTTCTTGTGTGCTATATTAGTATCCAGCCTGAGATTATCAGGCAAGTATATATGAACAACCATTCTTTTGAAGAACCACTTCATTTTTGTGAATATAAGTTCCTGAATAAATAGAGGTCGATTAAAAACCTATTGTAATAGTGTAAAATGTTTCTTGAAACATTTAAAATTAACTTTTCTCAGTATTTTCTTATCATTGCTTAAATCTAAATCATGATACAGAAGAACAGCTAAATCAGAAATAGAAACTTGCATTATTTCTTTTTGTTATGAAGTCCTGTGGGCAGTTTCATGCCTACCAGACTTCACTGATAACCTGCACCAGGGGGCACTCACTTCCCAGTCTAATCAAAACAAGGGAACCAAATCAGATACCAAATCTCTCTTCTCAGCCATACTGCTATCTCTTATGCCTGCATCTGTTTCTGCATTGGTAAAATGCTGAAAATGTTCTTCCATGATTTTGCACACTGTTAATTGTTAGTGTTTTGTCACTTGTAGTTGGAGAATGCTGTGGAAATATATTCTCATACAGATTTTGTTAAAAATCTTCAGCAAATAGCTAACGCTTCTTGAACACTGCTTTGAGCGTGCTGTGTGAGAGATAAATAGTGAGTAGTTGTAGAAAATGCTTCAATTTCAAATTACACAGGGAATAGGGAGAATTAAAAATTGGGCAGTATGATGGACCGAAGACTGAGAACAAAAATGTTAGTGCTGTATATTAGTTCTTTCAAGATGTTTAAATAAAACAGAAAACTTGAATTCCAGTAGAATTTAAAATAGTTTACAATTTACAGAATGCCTTCATGTGGCAGGCTAAGTAATGTATGCTCATCTGAAAAACATCAGTGCTAACCAGTTACTCTGCATGGTGTGAATGTAAATGTGAAATACTCCTCTTTTCTCTCTCTGTCTGTTTTTTTTTTTTTTTTTAAATCTCTGTGCTGAGTGCACACAGTAACACCATGGCTTCAAGATTTAAATGTACTCATTAAATTGAAAAAGCTGTAATAATTTACAGTCACTTCCTACTGCAGTGACAGAAGTTTATGAAGTACTTCTTAATGCGTTTTCTAGTGCTGTGTTTGGAAAGTGAGCAGTAATATACTGCCTGGACTGAATTTTGGTCATTAGTTGCAGCTTGCAAATTGTGGTTGAACATAAAGAAAAAAAATTAAAATTTGACGATGAAGAAATTAACCTGTAAATAAAGTTGGGCAGCAGATATTGTAGGGAACCAACTATAAT